AGACTGCAGGGAGGTATGACTACTGAGAATTACCCAGGATTTTTGTTACATGTATGCGAGAAGGCCTTCTAAGGAAAGATGCAGAAACACTTTTGAACCACTAACCCAGGAGCCTCGGAATGACCCGTCAATCTCTAGCAGCTCCCCTACTGTGGAATAAGCCCAAGGAGAAGGGGGGATTATTGGGATCGCGTGCTCACATATCCCTACAGGACGAGTTCCCAGAAGGAAGCGAGCCACCACGAGGACAGCTTTTACAGGTGCGTGTGACACCATTCCATTCCACTGTCCACCCTACCCAAGTCTTCCGATAAATAAAACAATTATTCAATTCACCCTCGAGCTAAAATTAGTCTCCTCTTGGGTAGCAACAGCCAGACTTCCCCTCTATTTAACTTCTGACAACAGGTAGAGGTCCTTTTGTCTTCATCAAAAAACTCTAACGTCACCCTAGGAAAAACCAGGCATGTCTGAGAACGGGAGAAACTGTAGCCCAAAGGCAATCTCAAATCCCACTGGCCCCTGAGCCAGGCTCTGGAAGTCAAAGGAAACCCATGATCAAAACCGAGAAGGCTCAGCCCCAGCTCTCCGTCTGCCTGCTCCTGATGAAATATTCACAGCAGGGGAGACCCAGCCTGCTCCCTCCTCCGTAGTGCCCAGTGGCTCTGAGATGAAGTGTGAGCCACTGATAAAAACACAACCACGGAATAAATTCTTAACACCCAAGGGCAGGAGACCAAAGAGCCTCAGGCAAGCAGAAGGGAGAGGGAAAACAAAGAAGTCAACAGTACAGTAGAGAACTCCTGACGGATTCTGAGCCCTTTATAAATTAAGAATAAATAAGTCCCACGGGTCATCGAGAATTTTTTCCTTTCCAAGGTCCCCATTTGGGGGCTAAGCTAGAATAGGAAAGATTACCCAGCACTCCGAGGAGACCCGCACAGCTTCTCCAGAAGAGATGAGTGTATTTCTCACACAAGCCCATGCTGCACGAACTTCTCTTGGCCCTAAACTGGCTGGGAAGCAGGACTGCTATCTTGGCCCGACGGTTTGCAATGAGATGCACACAATGATGAACTATGCCACCAGGCTGCAGGTATCCGTGAGTGTGACCTACGACCGTGGTTACTACACAAAGGTGGGGCTGGCATGTTTTGCTGCCAACAGGTGAAGCTATTAATGTTACATGTGAAGCTATTAATTTTTTAAAGTGATGAATTGATTTGAAAACGGACAGGCTCAATGCAGCTCCCCGAACACTTCGTTCTTAAGCAAGAAAGCCGCTAGGTGAGCTTTGGTTTGCGTCCGCACTCAGCAATTTAAAAAGACAGGGTGGATGGTGGTAACCAGGACTCCAGGAAGCTTTCTGGGCTGGGGTAGAACAGACCATCGAAGTCGAGTCAGGAGATGTCTTTGAGGGAACAGACAACAAGGAAAATGACCCCCTGCCCCTCTACTAGCTGTTCTGTTGATGGTGGGAAGTTGAACACAAGTGCTTCTATATCTAGCATCAGAAATGGAATACTATATAGCTATAAAAAGGGTTTCCTACCCTTTGTGACAGCATGGATGGACCAGGAAAGTATTATGCTGAGTGAAATAAGCCAGACAGAGAAAGACAAATACCACATGATCTCACTTATAAGTGGAGTCTAATGAAAATGATAAAATGACAAACAAAACCGGTCCAGAGGCAGGGAGGGAGGCATGGAACAAACGGACATATCCGGGAGAAGGGGAAGAGAAGAAATTAATCAAAGAACTTACATACATAAGTGCATAACCAATGGACACAGACAAAATAGTATAGTGAAGTCCTGGGGTGTGGGGCAGGGGCTGGAAGGAGGGGAGCAAAGCGGAGGGATGGAGGATATCTGTAATACTGTCAATAAAATAAAAATAAATTTTAAAAAATTTTAAAGCCCTGGCCGGTTTGGCTCAGTGGTTAGAGCGTCAGCTGGCGGACAAAAGAGTCTCAGGTTCGATTCCGGTCAAGGGCATGTACCTCGGTTGCAGTTCATCCCCAGCCCTGGTCAGGAGGCAACCAGTGGATGTGTCTCTCCACACTGGTGTTTCTCTCTCTCTCTCCCTTCCACTCTATCTGAAGATAAATGAAAAAATATCCTCGGGTGAGGATTAAAAACAAAAAAAAAGATCATACCTGAGAGGTTCTGGAGGAGTTAGAGAAGCTCTAGTACATGGGGTGTGAAATGATTCTCCCAACATACCCTTTTGTTAAGACATAAACAGCAGGATTTTGCCCTGACTCAGGCCTCAGCTATTATCTTTATTGAGACATGAAACCAGAGACTCGCTTTTTTTTTTAAATCCTCACCTAAATGATTTTTTTCAGATAGAGTGGGAAGGAGGAAGGGAGAGAGGGTGAGAGAGAGAGAGAGAAACATCGACGTGAGAGAGACGCATCGACAGGTTGCCTCCCGCACCTTGTTCCGGGCTGAGGATCGAACCTGCAACCCAGGTATGTGCCCTTGATCAGGAATCAAACCTGCAACTCTTGGTCTGCAGGCCGATGCTCTAACCACTGAGCAAAACTGGCCAGGGCCAGTCAGAGTCTCCCTTTTTAAACAGTAGATCCCACTAGAAGTCAGTTGGTAGGATAAAACACGGCTGTAAGAAATGCACTGCCAGCAACAAAATCAGCTCTGCCCAAGAAGGATCTGAGTATCCCCCGGTGGTAACTAGAAACTATGTTATTAAAAAATAAGTAATGAGCCCTGGCTGGTTTGGCAAAGGGTCATGGGTTCAATTCCCAGTCAAGGGCATACACCTGGGTTGCAGGTTCAGTCCCCGGTCCCAGCCAGGGTCGTGCAGGAGGCAACCGTCGACGTGTCTCTCTCACATCAATGTTCCCCTCTTTCTCTTTTTCTCTCCCTCTCTTCCACTCTAACAAAATAAAATAAAATCAATGGAAAAATAACTTCGGGTGAGGATTAACAAAATAAATAAATAACAATGTAATTTCCTAGCACCATATAATAATGCCTCGAGTAATCAAAACAGTTGGAGAAGGGAGATATGAGACTGAAGTGTTCTCCAAATAACAAAATCTTACCTCCTAAAGTGTTGAAACATGTTTTTTTTTTTTCCCCTCACCCGAGGATATTTTTCCATTTTTGTTCAGATAGAATAGGAGGGAGAAAGAGGGAGAGGGAGAGGGAGGGGCAGGGGGAGGGAGGGGGAGGGGGAAGGAGAGGCGGGGGTGCGGGGGGGGGGGGCATCGACTTGAAAGGGACACATCAAGTGGCTGCCTCCTGCACGACCCCAACCAGGGCCAGGGATAAATCGCATCTGAAGTACGTGCCCTTGGCCGGAATTGAACCAGTGACTCATTGGTCCGCCGGCCGACGCATTAACCGCTGAGCCAAACGCATTAACCACTGAGCAAAACCAGCCAGGGCTTGAGACATGTTTTAACCATTTTATTTTTTCATAGAAATGTATCTCAAATACATTCTACGCTACTCAGGATTATTAAGCAGACTTTGTGTAATAAAATGATACCCTTCCTGACAGTTAAGATAAATATTACAAACACTGCATAAACTGAAACATGCAAAGGACTTGCCTCCCTGAACCTGTATATGCAAATTTTTGGTGCATGTGAATATATGTGTTTTACTGGGGAAAAGGCACTATCTAAATTCTCAAAGGGACCCAGGAAAGGGTCTGAAACCAACTGAACCAAGACAGGAAGTAGCCTCTGCCTCCAGATGACTGGCCCCAGCACTGTGACGCCCCAGGAGGCCTTTACCTTCTTCGTTCTCACGGCCTCTGTGCTCAGCTGTCACCTTTCACCCACACTACTCTGACACCACTTTTGTGGTTTCTCTCTCTCCTCTAGCTACTTTTCTTCCTCTCTTCTGACTTACATTTTTGACACTGTTCCTTCACTTGTGGGATGAGAACAGGTATTATTTGTTTTTAAAAAAATGGTGCAAACTTCCGATTGGCAGACCAGTCATGAGTCATCTCAGTGGCAGTACTTGTGGCCGGTTTCATTTCTGCTCAGTACTTGGGCTCTCTCATTACCTCTGGGTTGGTGGGTATTGTGGAAAATTGAGGATGCTAGATGTCTGATTGCTGGGACATTATTGGACCACGCTTCCTGTAAATTGTAGTAAGCTGAACATGGGTGTTAGGCCGAAATGGACACACACACACACACGTCCCCCCAATCAACCCACAATCTACAGATTACTTTCAGGAAGTTGAGGCACTTGGTCTCTCTCCCGGCTTATGTCAGTATGTGAAATATTTGCATCCCCAGGCTGAGCTGGGATGTGGGAGAAATATTTAGAGCTTGCTCAGCATGGCATGTTCAACCACGTTCTATAAATGGCACGCCGGTAAATGGGCCAGACAGAAAGAATCAAGAAAATGTTACTGCTTCTTCTTTACGGTCCATTATGGCGAAGTGCGAGATGAAGGGAGACGAGGGCGGCAGGGGCCTGAATGGTGGGAGCCAGAGGTGCCCGGGGGCCTCGAACTGGTGAGAACCCGGCTGCTGAGCGCTGCGGCAGGAACCATGTTTTACCCACCCCTACAGGAAAGACGCCGGCGCTCGAAGTGCCTACACTCCGCTTTCATGCCCTACCTCTCATGGATGCTGTTTTACGTTTGCGGGTGGGGTTGGTTAGCTTTCCACACAACTAAAAATGACAGGGTCACAGAGGAGATCTATTTCCAAAAACAGCTAGAAATGGCAGACACCAGATAATCTGAAAATAATTTAATTCAAAAGTATATAAACATAAAGCATGCACAGAAAGGTCAGCTCTCCCGAAGTTGAGACAGATGAAAACGTTCAAACAATAGAAAAGTTAGCCATATGTATCCAAAAGGCAAGTAATCAGATTAGCAAGTAGTGCGAACTGAGAAAAGCCACGCACTCCCTCAGGCCTCCTGTCTGCACCACGCATGCGGGTATCCGTGGGGGGCCGCACCTGTGGTCCAGGTAGACGTGCCTGTCCGATCCTTACCTCACGGCGGTCACTGGCTGGGATGTGTGAAGGACTTGCTTCTTCTTCTAGGGGCTCAATCACTGTCACCTCTGCAAACTCCTCCACGGATTCTTGAAATTCTGGTAAGGACCTTCGTCCATAGCGCTTCCCACCTCTAACATATTTGGGCTGAGCTTCCAGTGAGCAGTCTGGGCAAGGAGACAAGAGTTGAGGCCACATTACATGACAATCTCAGCCCTTAGCTGACACTCACAGCCGTCGAATGCAGCCTCTTATACCAGCCCCAAAATAAACCACCACCATTTGCCAGTTGTGTGGACGTGGGTGTGTGTGAGCCACCAGGTCAAATGTGGAGCACAGCTTCTAATCTGAATGATTTCCTGCACCCAGGACCTCTCTGCATGTGAGTGGAGCGATGCAGTGCTGGCAGGAGGGACGGACTTAACAGTACAGAAGGAAGATCAGGACAAAGCAAGGGGTCATATTTGTTCTGTTGATTAAGCTGGTGTTTTGCAGGAAAGGAAGAGAGAGCGATCACACCAACAAAATAACACAGTGGAGGAAGTCTTAGAAAATCGTGCAAGAACAAACACCAAATCAGCACTGTCGAGTTAGTCTTCACACCGATGAGTCTGAAACACACCCCTCTCGTACCTCAGTGACTCCTTTGTTAACCATCCCACTTTCTGATCTACAGACAAGCAGGACGACAGAACAAAGAAACTGACACAGCGGATCTGAATCAATTAATGACAGCTCATCGCATACACGAAACCCGGCGTCAAGAAGAGCTCATAATAAAATTAAAAGCTGTGGAATTAAACAGCAGATGTGAAACTGCATTGAGAAAAATGATGAATTATGTTTTTTTTCTACTTCAAGAGCTTCAGTGTTGTACAAAATAAAAAGAATTATGCATAAGGGGAGGGTCATCTCTTGACCTTAAAGAAGGACTTCAGCATCCTGACATAATAGGTCACAAGTTCAACATTCACCACCACCACCACCACCACCACTACCACCATCATGACCATCACCACCACCACCACCATTACCACCATCATGACCATCGTCACCACTACCACCATTACTGCCATCACCATCATCAACACACCACCACCGTGACCATCACAGCCATCATCACCACCATCACCACTACAATCTAGCCTTTCTCTACAGTGGACAGATTTAAAGCAATACAATAAATACTTCACTCTATGCAAACGTCATCTTAGATATAGGTTGTTTTGTTTTGTTTTTGGCAACCTGCACAGAATTAGGAGAATAAAATACTCCATTAACAGACAAAAGACTGGCAATGCTTGGATTCTTATCATCCACACAGACACAGTGTCTCTCTGGAGAACATAATGTGTGTTCTGTCTGAACATGACAGCCCTAACAAGATATGCCTGAACTCAGGCACGTAGATTTGTAGATGAGGTATGTACACATACCAACAAAATGAGGGTGGATGATTAGATAAGGACAAAAAGAATAAAACCTTTACTTTTCCATTAGGGGTTTGCCATTACTAGGTTGATTCCCTGGAAGGGCGGGTGACCCTGCCCCCTCCCCTCCTTGCCCTTCCTCCGGCACATGCTCAGATTTCACAGATGTGGCTAGAAGCATCCTGAAAATGCTCAGCAAAGCTCAGAGTGAAGTACTTATGCTTGCTCTATAATTTCTAGTGATATTTATATCCAGTTTTTTCAAAGTCCCAGCCAAGTCATTGTATTAGGTCAAGCGATTCTCTTACAGGAAGTATTTAGGCATACAAAATTTTTTTAAAAACCACATGCACATTTGAAGGTACCTTTTATCAGAAGAGAGTGTGTCAGCTTGATCGGCCCAGACACCCGAGCTACTTGTTGGCAGCTGATACCCACAGATGCTAGTCAGATAAGAGGCAATGCAGAACCATCCTTAATTTATGACATATTCTTACATCTTACGGGCAGACAACAAGATACACCATTAGTGATGATGGGGGCTTGGAAAAATGAAAAGGAAAACTTATAACATCAGAAAATGGAGTGTGGGATTTTCCCAGTGTGAGAACAGTCATGGTCTAGGGATGGAAGTGGCCGTGGCCTGGGGGGTGGAAGTGGCCGTGGCCTGGGGGTGGAAGTGGCCATGGCCCGGGGGTGGAAGTGGCCGTGGCCCGGGGGTGGAAGTGGCCGTGGCCCGGGGGTGGAAGTGGCGGCAGCCTGGGGGTGGAAGTGGCCGCGGCCCGGGGGTGGAAGTGGCCGTGGCTCGGGGGTGGAAGTGGCCGTGGCCCGGGGGTGGAAGTGGCAGCAGCCCGGGGGTGGAAGTGGCCGCGGCCCGGGGGTGGAAGTGGCAGCGGCCCGGGGGTGGAAGTGGCCGCGGCCCGGGGGTGGAAGTGGCCGTGGCCCGGGGGTGGAAGTGACGGCAGCCTGGGGGTGGAAGTGGCCGCGGCCCGGGGGTGGAAGTGGCCGTGGCCCGGGGGTGGAAGTGGCGGCAGCCTGGGGGTGGAAGTGGCCGCGGCCCGGGGGTGGAAGTGGCCGTGGCCCGGGGGTGGAAGTGGCAGAGGAGCTCCTAATGCATGCTGCACTTTTTCCAAAGGAAAAACAGCAACAGAACAAAGTAACCATGTTAAAGAACCCACTGAAATTTAATCCCAGGCCCCCCGTGGGTGAAAGGGTTCCTTCGCTCTTTACCACGTGGTGCCCTATGCCCACGGGCAGCAGCAAGATGTGAAACCGCTCGTTTCTAAGCAATGGAAGGTAACAATTGTGAACCATCAGAACCCTGTGAGGTCTGAGTCGATTTAATCACTTACTTATTTTTACATGGTCAGAAACTTTTCTAAAAAAGTATTAATTTTATTATTATAACTAATTTTGAGCAAACTTTAAGTTAATGTTTTTCACAGAATGTACATATATCACAAAGTCAGTTTTCAGAGAAACTTATTAAACTTTATAGTCTGTTTGGAAAAGAGGCATTAGCACACACAAAGGATAAAGGGGGTATTAAGGTTTCCTCATACTGAATTTCCCAAATTACCCATGTGACCAGTAAAGCATCAGGCCAATCACACCAGTGAAATAGTTACTTCGACCGACACACTCGCACGCCCCTCTCCTACTGGGCGCGGCCCACTGCACTCACATGAGGAAAGGGGGAGACGGCTGCGGGAGGTCCAGACAGAACACACAGGGTCAACAGCCACCGTTGTGTTCAGCATCTGAAAACTCTATTATTCTCCTCATGAATCTCAATAAGGCCTTTCAACATCACAGCAGCCGTCGTCCGAGCAGGTGTCCATGGGGAGCTGAAGACTCTTCCACACCCAAGTGGAGAACCCTCACCCCTCTGCTCACCACGCCCCACGAAGACTCGCAAAGCCGCATCCAGATGTAACCTACACACTTCAGGGTTTCATACTGGAACACCTTTCTCTATGGATCACTTGATTTATTAAGAAATAAAAGTGTCCATCCTATAGCTTTCTTTTTATTTTTTATTTTAAGCATTTATCTTCAGACAAAGTGGGAGGGAGGTGGGGAGAGAGAGAAACGTCGATGTGAGAGAGACACACCAACTGGTGGCCACACACACGAAACCATCCACAGCCGGGGACAAACTGCAACTGAGGTACAAGCCCTTAGCGGGAACCGAACCCGGGCCTCTCTGGTCTGTGGGCCGACGCTCTAACCACTGTGCAAAACCAGCCAGGGCAACTTTCTTTAACATAAGGGTAAGGAACTGCTCCAAGGAGAGACGGGAAATGCCACTGAAACAGTTTTAAAGGAGTTCCCTGCTTTCAGTGTTCGATTTCTTTGAATATATATTTATTATTCTACCTAGACTGTCAAGCTCCCAGGTCATTTCCCCGACTTTCCTCTTTTCCATTTCTCCTATTTGTCATCACTACATGAAAATAAAAATGGGAGGAGTCTCGAACTCCACCCTGGAGAGCTGATTATGAGATGCGCCAACCGAGTCAGGCAAGGCCAGGCAGTGCTACCTGACCTAGTCTGCTGATCCAGGCTTTACTCCACAAACCACACACACGCTTTGCCTCAATTTCCTAAAGACTGCTGGAGTAATATGGAAGCAACTAACAGTCTCTACAGAGCAGGCAGGCCAAAAACACACCACCACCTAATTAGAGTTCAGAAGACAAAAAACAAAACACATTCCTTCCAGCCTTAGAAATTAAACAAAATCTGGTGTTCAGACACCACATTCTTTACTCCGTATCTCATCTGTCCCAAGAAGATGCACTTGTGAGAACATTCACCTTCCAGAATCAGGTTGAACCACCATGCACATGTGTGATTTGTGAAAGTCTGTACTTTTATAATAAAAGAAATTTTGAAATACAAAGTCCATGAGAATGACCCTCAGGGGAAAAGCAGGCTGCATGCAGGGAAGCACTGGCACTCATCCAGTCCATCCCTCTCGCCTCCCCTCCTCCCCCTCTCACTGGGCGGTACCACCTCCAGAACTGGCCACGGCCACCAGTGGGATGCACTGTGCCACTGGAACACTGAGCTCTCCTGATGGCCAAAGGCAAAGCAATGAGGACGCAGAGGAAGCCGAAATAGTTACCCGAAAGCCTAAACATTACTTATTCAATCAATGCTCTTTGCAAAAACACAAGCTTTAGGCCTGGAATGAAGCAGCATCGACAGCAGGCATACGGGAAGTTAAGAAGAGTAAGAGGCACTCCAATACCAGGCTGGACCACTTAACTGTTATCCATTGAACACCTGCCACAGGCAAAGCATAACATTGCACCTACGGAGGGTTAAGATGGATATGTGATCGCTTTTTTTGAACCAAATTTCCCTGTTCTTAAAAACAACCTGAGGATATTTCCAGGATGAAGGAAGCCCTATCTTTAAGGTGCTGATATTCTCAGTTTGGGAATGCCCGTGCAGAGCCTGCTGTCTGCTTCCCTTCCTGCCCCACTTAGTCAGCTTGAGAAATCATTCCCAGGACTGCACCTCCTTCTAAGGGACCTCAGCACAGGGGTACCCCCTAGTCTGAGGCTCTCCAAACTACATTTCTGCCTAGCTCACAAGAGCTCTGAAGTCTATTTGAAAACAAGATGGTAAAAACACACAGGAAGATGGTGGTGGGCAGGACTGGTAGGAGGGTGAGTGCGTGAGAGGACATGAAGGTGGACGAGCAAACCCGAGCAGTGCAGAGCGCG